AAATAAATACCACGGGCATTACTTTTCTTTTTTTCTTTAATTTTAGTATTATAATTTCTAAATTCAGATAGAATTGTAATCCCTCTCTTTTCTTTGGTAAGAAAATGACTTTTGGAGGATGGCTATAATCTGTGTGGGCAAATGCCGCTAATTCCATTCACTAATCTTTCATTTTCCCTAAAAGCTATAATGGGAACTGATATGAACATTAATCCCAGTAGTCTGACAAACTTGTTACTTGTAATTTATGATCACAAAAAAATTAGGTAGCCTTAGACAGACATGTGAGCCACAGAATTCTATTTAAATGTGCAATCTGACTTACATTCCTCATACTTTTTTTTTTTTTTTTTGTCCCACGGAAGCATAATCTACCATATATTCTCCATCCTCCATGAACATATTGATCCATTGATAGAAAATGTGTAGGATTAGAAAGCAATTTTATTTCCCTAAGAACAGCATTTTCACATATTCTACCACATTCAAGTATTTCTTTTGTTTCTGTTAATATTTCTCCATAGACTCAAATAGAATTAAATAAGGTTTTGAAGGCCACTAAGAATATTACACAAATTTGTTTGTGAATGATACTTATGGACAATACCTCCTTTTTATTGGCACTACTTTAAAGGAACAAAAATAAAATTTTAAAAAATTCCAGTTAATTTAAAGCATAATTTATATACAGCAAAACTCACCATTTTAAGGTACAGTTTGTGAGTTTTTAAAAATGCATAGTCATGTAACCAAGAACTCATGTTGATCAAGATACAGAACAATTTATCACTCAAAAAAAAATCCTGCTGTGTCTTGTGTGAATTTATCCTCTCACTTCAACGCTTTGGAAATTACCAGTCTGATATATATCCATATAGTTTTGCATTTTCCATGTCATATAAGTAGAATCATACAGTATGTAGCCTTGTGAGTTTATATACTGTAACTTCTTTCTAATTAGCATAATGCACTTGAGAACTATTCATGTTGTCAAGTGTTTTCGATAGTTTGTTCCTTTTATTGACAAGGCATTGCACTGTAAAACACACCTCCACTGAGGAACATTTGGGGTGTCTCCACCTTTTACGCTATTGCAAATAATGCCACTTTAAATATTTTGAAGTCCTTATTGTTCACAAGAAAGGTATAGGTTTCCTCATCATTTATCTGTTTGATTGTTAAGATAGACCCTTAAAGGTGTTAGAAGTAATATTGGTCCTGATTAAGTTAACTTAAAAATGTAACTTGAAATTTGTTTATCAATTTAAAAACAAGTCAGTGAAAATGCTTACAAATAAAACATATTAAACCTAATAATATACTAGATTGATTTTCCTTAATGTCATGGAAGAACCCTCAAAATTAGTATGTATATCGGAAACCTTACTCCAATATATTGGAGAAATGACTTACATGTTGCACATGTGCAATCGTTTCAAATACAGGTACATATTATGTAACCACTTCTCTGGGATATGATTTCTCTGAGTTAGATACTTTGTTTGTTAGGGCTGGGATAGTTACAAGATTCAGTTTTCATAAAAGTTTTTTAAAAACTTCAAGTATTCTTAAATAAAGATTTTTTACATGTTAGACTAATTGAGGTATTAAGAATTGCTCAAATGAAGGCAAGAAAAGAAATTAGTAGGGTGATGTTTGAAGTATGTTACATAGGTAAAGCCAATGGGATATATAGAATGTTACCCCTCTGATCATACAGGGTGGGGCAAATGTAGGTTGATAGTTGTGAGGATGCAAACAGAGTTTATTCTTGTATTTTATTTATTAATGTATTACTTTCATACGAACAACTGTAGACCTACTTTTGCACCCTACCCCCGTCTGCCTGACCCCAGGAGCATGGAATGCTTGGAGGAAGGCGCCTGTGAGCTTTCAGTTCCAAAATATAAAAATCACTAATTAAGAACAGTGTCAGATTATATACTCTTGGTTTGTTTCAAATGTGCACATGCAGAAAATGAATGTATTACTCACTGAAGACTCAGATAACAGTGAATTTTACGAGGAGCAGGTTGCAGGGAGGGTGGCTCTACATCTTTGAGAGTGTGTGTCCTTGTGCATTACCAGTGTATTAGGTCAGGGATGACAATCACAGTGGAGAACACTCCATGAATGTATGATAATCACATACAGAAAATAAAGTAATAGATGTAAATGGTAGGGTGGTGTACCTGGCAGCTTTAACTTGGAACCCAGCCAAATGTAATTTGCTTTATTTTTTTTTTTTTATTCTTCTGGTATCCTAAAAATTTCCCAGAAGCTAAATCGGTGACTGAAAATTTTCCTGTGTCACAATGGTAGATATTTTCTCTATTGCCAAAAGAAAATATACATGATTGCTAATAAAAATTCTTAATTATTTTATCACTTGTTTAGTTGCCACTTAAATTGAACCTGCTTCTTGAATGAGTTTGTGAAAAGGGAAAAACCCCACAAATAATTACATATATGTTAACTGTTTGCAAGAATTGGAATTTCTCTTTTGGTATTTTGCATACAACTTCTTTATCTTAATTGCACTTTCCCTTTTCATTATATTTTTTAGTAAGACTATTTTTTTAGAGCAGTTTTAGGTTCAGAGCAAAGTTGAAGAGAAAGTACAGAGCTTTCCTCTATACTCCTTACCCCATCAAGTGCTTAGCCTTCGCTACTTTGTTTTTCATTTCCTTCAGAAAGGCTCCCTCTGTTGATTTGCAGCAAAGAAAGAAAGAGTAGGGGGAATTATCCAGGTAAAATTCTTTATCATTGAAGGGAAAATATATAGAGTCAGCCACAGCAGAAGTTATTTCAAAAATTGTCTGTTCATGTCTCACATGTCGTGCTTCTTTAAAAACTTAAATCTTTGAATGTTACGTGCAACAGGCAGATAGAAGATTCCACATGCTGGTACAGTTGTTGACTGGTCCATTGACATTTGGTCAGTTGGTCCTTTTTTTTTTAATAGAATATATATATTTGAATTGTATAGGAAAATAGTTTCATTATGAATGAAAGTATATTAGGGCATAAAAAGGATGTTATATTTTTCTCATTTCATTTTCTAATGGAACCCATGCTGGTACTTGAGTTACTCAAATTGATTTATATGTATTCACGTTTATAAGAGTTTGTCTGTAGAAAGGTAATATTTGAAATCCCTGCTCTAATCAAGTCATCATTTTGCCATTATATTGTCACCAGCCGTCACTTGGAAATGTACATCTTCCGGGGTTACACCACGAAAGGGGTTAATCCTTAATTTATCAATAAGATTATTAACTGGTGCTCTGGGCACTAACAGTGGACTTTGTCACTGTGTCATCACTGTGCTTTCATCCCACCATGAACTGTCACTTGATGTCCAAGGTTGCTCAAGCAAATAAGAATTCAAAATTGGTATTGAAAAAGTCTCCAAAGATAGGTAAAAAACACAGTTCTGAAAAATCTTAGAAGAAATGTTTCTTTCATCTCCGAACTTCTAGATATTCAATATATTATTGAAACTTAAAAACCTTCAGGTTTTTCAAAATGTCTTCTTGTAATGGGCACAAAGGAAACCTTTAAAATTGTTTTCATTCTAATTAGTGAGAAGATTTCAAAATGAGAAAGTTATTTCAGGATTGGTTGATGGCTAATATACCAAAGGCCTCTTGCTCCCTCTACAGAAGGTGCTTCAAAATTGCAGTCACAATTTTTTTTTTTTTAATTTTTGTTTTATAGTTGTTCCAGTTATTCCCCTCTTCACCCCCACTTCCATCGTCCTCACCCTGTTGTCCATGTTTATGGGTCCTTCATATACGTTCCTTGGCCAATCCCTTTACCTTATTTCAATCAGTCCACCCCTTTCTCCCCACCTAGCGCTGTCAGTCTATTCCAGAAATGAAATAAGCCAGTCGGTGAAAGACAAATACCACGTGATCTCACTTATAAGAGGAATCTAATGAACAAAATAAACTAATGAGCAAAACAGAACCAGAGGCATAGAATCACAAAAGTTTTTTTTTGAAAAACTTAAATAGATTTGTTAGAATTTCATGATGATTAATAAAAAGCTTTGGATCCATGTGTATCTCTAATGTCTGGTAGACTGGTTGGTGGTCCTAAAGTTGATCGGGATAGGTTTGTGTGTTTCTAATTTGGCATTTTTCTCTTGCATCAGCTAGGGTTAAACTCTAGTGACAACAACTGGAAAAGTTGTAGTTGTAGTAACAACAACAGTAGGTTTTTGTTTGCTTGGCTTTGTTTTATTTATTTGGCCTTATGCATGAATGAAATGCTTGAATATTTCCTTTGATATTAAGTAATCGTTTTACTCATTTTCATTCTTTTTTATTTTGCCTGGGGATTTAAACAAGAAAAATAATGTACTGTACCTCACCTGCTTAATTAGTTCTCTCTCTACTTCTAATTTTTTCAGTCATTTTTAGTTTTTAGTTGTTTTGGGGAAAAAATTAACAATTTGAATTGTGACTTCTTAGAAGGAAGAATTATTTAATTAAACTGCATTTTTTTTTTTTGCTATAGGTAATATTGACAAGAGACAGAAAATTTGCCCATTCTATAAGAACTTCATTAATATATAAAACTACCATATATAATATATAAAACTCATATATGTGTATATATAAAGTCTTAATATACCCATTTCTGTTAAATTGGAATAATATGTTAATACTTTGGTAGCTTCAGTTTGAATAGTTTTATGCATTTTCTTTTACAACTCCAAGACCATTTTATTTGACAAGTTACTAGTTTTTCTTAGTGTGCCATTTAGAATTATAACAATTCTTCTATCAGTAGAGTCTTAACAAAAGATTGAAAAATCCTTTTTCATTTGTATTTATCATAAGAACAGACCTTGTGTTGTTACCATAACCCTGTAACTGAAAAATGCATAAACATGACAAGTAGCTTCTTTAATTTGAATATGTCACATCAGATTTACTGTTCTAAATTATTATGCTTATACTAGACTGGATTTTTTTTTCCCCCTCTGGTAGGTGTACTGGTCCATTAGCAAATTCTCTTTCAGAGAAAACAAGAGACCCAGTAGACGAAGATGATGATGAATATAAGATTCCTTCATCCCATCCTGTTTCCCTGAATTCACAACCATCTCATTGTCATAATGTAAAACCTCCTCTTAGGTAAGAATGTGGGCGGCCTTTTAATCGTCTCATGTCTGCATAAACACTATCATTTGTAATATATGTTTTTAGGCAACTACATTATATCTATTTATTTAAAATCCTTGATTTCTTGCTCAGAGCCTCTTCTTTCTATGTACTGTCTTCTGCATTAGTTTCAGAGAAGACTAAAAGATACAGATTTTCCAGGAAATGATTTGACTAAATTAGTTGACTAGTAAATCCAGTAGGACATTTTTTTGTCTCCTTCTTCCAAAATAAATTAAACTCTGATGAAACTTCGTAGGTTACCTATAGTAGTGAGTAATTGATGAGTTTTTAATAAGCTATTTTCAACCCATTTTATAAGTGCTAAGTACATAGCTCATGAAGAAAAATTAGTGCTTAAAAACTAAGGTATTATTGCCAATCATCCTTAGAATTTTTCTTCATAAAATAAATATTAGTATAATTTGTATTCATTTACCATCGTAACATGCCACCTTCTTCTATTCAGATCTTGAAGAAAAACTTAAAAACCCTAAAACTGTTTTTCTTAACTGTTTTTGTCAGGTACTGTATATTTTACTTTTGCTTAGATCAAATAAGAATGTGAGGAATAGTGGGGGTTTTTTTCCTACTTGTTCCTCCTTACTCTAATGGAGACATCCTTGATCTTAGAACGTATAGTTCATTGAGGTATAGGAGTTATTAAAAATGAGTGGTTTGTTTTGAAATATTAGTTTGTCTTTAGGTAGAAGGATTATTCTGCATTTGTGTAATTGAATCAGTATCCATAATATAATATTTTTATCTTTTTAAAAGACTGACATATATTAGGTACTCAATAAGTGAAATCTCAGTTTCCAAGCTTATTTTCTAAGCTCCAATTTTCTTTGTATAATAATATCCCTGGAGCTATGCTGGGAAAATAGAATAGGGTTCAACTACTGCTGGTAGCCCAGCCTTCTGCCTTCCAGTAGCTCTTGATTGACTGAAAAATAGGAGAGCCATTGGCTACTTCAATCATCTATGTCATCTTAGTGTGCCATTTCCTTTTTAGGGCAAGTCAGTCAACAGAAGGCATTTTATGGAGGCATTGCTTCGTTCTCAGATGAAAAATCTGAAAATGTTTTAATGCCTTTCTTTGAGTATCATAATGAGGTAGAAAACACGATGCTTGAAAAAGAGAACAAGTCTTCATTTTAACCAGAGATCCGTCTTAATGAGTGATCCTGGGTAGAATTATCAACACTCTGCAGAAGTATTAACCAGGATTATTAACGTTCTGAAGTACAGGGCTTCATATTTCAAAGCAAGAACCAAAGTACTTCTCGCTAATTGGTGTTTAAGACATTTGTGGCTAAAATAGTATCATTGAGGAGACAGAAGAAATAACTGAGAGGCAGTTGGTTGTATCAGAAGAACCAAATGTCTGCTGCTCTTATTAGAGAAAAAAGTTATTCCTTCACGTCAAATATAAATTGTTATAATTTTCTGTTCCTTTGACTCTTACCAATGTGTAGTAATTTTTTTAAAACTGAAATAAGATGAGCTTTTTCTGTCTACATAGTATCTCATTATTTTTCATTGCTGGAGAAGTGAGGGGTAAAATTTTAATAGTTTAAATTTTAATTGTCACATCATATTGGATGAGCTCTTTGGTGGCAGGCCTCCCAAAACCAGAAACTAAATTTGAATTATGACCACCATTACCATCTTTGTACTGTTACAGAGAAGTAATAAATGTTGATAATCCCTAAACTAAACTGGAGTGCATTTTATATCTAATTTGTTTCTGAAAGTTAATGAATGAAGTATTTCTTATGTCCTCTACAAGGCACACTTTAAGCTAAACAGTTCTTTCCCCTCTGTGCCTCCCGTACGCATTGGAACAGCAGAAGTAAATTGTCAATATGTGGAAAAAGTTAAATGGTAGATGAATAACTCAATTCAGTTTTAGTAAAAATCCATCATTACTATAAAAATTCAATATGTAACTATTTTTAAAGGAACCATCTTGGGCCCCTTGAAGAGAGGCGGCCACCAGAGAGAATGAGAACGCATCTCAGATGAAGCGCTCTCGCAATAACTATTCCACTATCCACTGTCTCCTCTAATACGTAGATACTTCTACTTGGCCCTGAGAATTCAGAGTAAATTAGAGAAAAGTAAAATATAAACCCTGCTTGCTATATAGCTCTTTGTGAGCAGAATAACTTGGTGAGCAGAGAGTTCGTTGTTACGCAGCTCTGTCCTGAACACAAAGTGTGCTCTGTGTCTTCCTGCCGCTGTCTTCCCGTGCCCCAGTTTTATCCATTGTGTTCACAGGATGATTTCAGCCACAAAAGTACTTTTTAGTAAGTATTATCCTTTATAGACACCTAGATCAAAATATTTGTTGCGTCTACAAGAGTTTTGCTAAAGTCATTTTGGTACTGTTGTCAGAAGTGCCAGCATTTTGTTCATGACAGTGGTGAAATTACACTGTAAATTCTATAGTATACTATAAATTGACAGGTCTTTGAATATACCTATCAGAATTTTAATGGAGTTACTGATCATTTGATAATTCTCCATCTTTGGGCTCTAGTGTGTTATAAGGAGAGTTAAATTACAGAAATAGAAATATATTAAATACCATCAAAATATGAAATCATTGGGATTGCAAACATTTTTTGCTTTATTATATTTGTTCTTCAAAAACTCGACAAAGTGAACTCTTTCAAAACATTGTTAATTTGAAAGATGTGTTTAGAGTAGCAACAACTTTTGTGACCATTGTAATTCTTGGTTTCACTTAAAAAAGAGAGATTATTTGTTGTCAATGGGGTATTTACTTCTGCTTTGTAAAAATATTTGAGTAGGAATATCCAGAGACTATAACTTGCACTTTTCCCAGAAAACCAAATCAATTATATTTATTTTCAGACTTTATTGTATGAGCTGGGTTGCTAGTTCCCATCACCCTTTGAATGACTTTTAAATGGAAAGTAATTATCCTTACGATTTTTATCCTCTGATCTCTGCTTTAGGGCTTATGATAACGGCCACTGTATATTGAATGGAACACACGGAACAACTTCAGAGATGAAGAAATCAAACATCCCTGATTTAGGCATATATTTAAAGGGTATGTATCTATAGATACTCTCCTTGCATTCTACATCTTAATGGTCAGAATTTAAAGGCAAAATTCCATGCCATTGTTGAAAATACATTAAGATTTTGTGTTATCCTCTAGGAGATGTTTTTGATTCAGCCTCTGATCCAGTGCCATTACCACCTGCCAGGCCTCCAACTCGGGACAATCCAAAGCATGGTTCTTCACTCAACAGGACGCCCTCTGATTATGATCTTCTCATCCCTCCATTAGGTTGAAACCTTTAAAAAAATTTCAGACAAGCCACCCTGCCTCTTCTTTCACTTAATATCTGAATTATCAGAAGTCAGAGTTCAGTGTAATATAGATGCACTAGGTCATGAATTTGTCTGAATTAGAAATGATTCTTTTAGGTAATGGTGGCTCTCAAGTTCATGTGACCATTATTCCATTTAAATCATTGGTTTTCAACGTGTGTGCCATGTGACACCTGCGTGCCACAAGAATTTTTAAAACATGCAATACCTGACTATTTAGTCAGTGCCACTTACATTTTTTCCCTTAGATTGTCAAATTAAAAAAATGACAACAGCCAACTCAACAAGGGCTGTCCAGTGTGAACGAATAAAAATTATACCTATTTAGTTTTTGCCAGATCTATAAAACATATTTTTTGGTGTGCCACAGGGTTTTAGTAATTGGTTTATGTGTGCCATGAAATGAAAAAAAGGTTGAAAATCACTGGTTTAGATGATTGAAGCAATGATGTAAATAGCTGGCCATCAGTCAGGATTTTATCAGGTTATATCTGACATGTACTAAATAAATGTAGTCTACAAAAAAACCTATGAAGAGAGCATTGTTCAGGCACCTGTGTTCTAGTAGAGGTGAAGTGTTCATCTGAGATTTTCTTTTAAGTACAATTCTTAATGAATATGTACTGTTTCTTTCAGCATTGAATGACCCAGTTTCACTTAGCTGGTTACATTATGGAAAATTATGTCTTTTATTGTAGGGAGCTGAGAATAAATTCTGTCTTATAATCATTGAAAATAATTGCCAAAAACACATCCAAAGAATCTAAATTTCTTTGTTTCAGATGTTAAAGTGAAGAAGTGTACTATTGTGTGTTTGCTGTGTGTACATGTATGAAGGTACACACATGTGTGTGTGTATGTTAAAGTTGGCTGGCTGTGTCTATTTCATTAATTCTAGGTGGAAAGCTTCTTACCCTGTTTTTGGAGGAAAACAATTAGAACCTTCATACACATTAAGGTTTCACAGTAGCAAGTCACCATCATGTATAATGAAGGTCCATTTTTAAGCTTAGCTAAATTATTAGATTACCAGAGATGTAAAAGGAACCTTCTGATTTTTTTTCTCAAACACCATCAATCAGTGTTTCCACTTATAATATAGCAGTGTCTTTTGCTCTCCTATTCTTTTTCTTTGTTTTACACTTGAAACCTCTCCTGTTCTTTCTGTAGTTCAATGATTTATTCTCACCTACATGAATTATGAGAGCCTCCTAACTTCCTTCTCTACCTAGTGTTTTTCTCCCTTCTTCCTATACACTGATTTTTAACATGTTAGCCAAGTCTTTAGGACTCAGATAAGCACCGTCCAGTAGAATTTTATGTGGTGATGTAAGGTATCTATATATTCACATGTGTGATGGTGAAACTGAAAGGATAGTAACGTAGTGTTATCTGTTTGGAGATGACATCTGATCATCTTATTTCTGGACAGTAAGATCCCACATGACAAGCATATTGTTCTTACTCATTTCTGTATTTCATGTCACAGAATATGTTTAATCAATGATTATGAAATAGAATAAAGCACATTTTCAACACAAAAAGAAAAACAATTACATAGCTACATGTGGATGGTGACTACCATATTGGGCAATGCAGATAAATGTTCCAACCTGTCTTTTTAACTCCATCTTCCTCATGTATATTTCATGCTTTATTCATAGTATTTACTCTGTCCAGAAGACACCATCCTTGCATTTGATGAGTAAATATTTTTGAGCCACTGATATCCCAGACCTTCCTGGTTTTGGTAACACCATGCCGAATGCCACTTTCTTAATTTCTCTTCCCTCTTAAAATGAATATATCTCTCTGTGGGACTTCTGCGACTTCCATCCTGCGTCACTTGTGAACTTTGCTGAGATCCCCATGTGGAATCTAAGCTCCTTGAGTCAGGACCTTATGATTTTGATCTTCACATTACCTATGTGCCTAGCATGGTGCCTGACGTTTAGGGGCTGAAAAGGGATTTGAATGAATAAATTAGCAGATAGCTGAGGTTGGAATGAAAATAAATAACTTCTCTAATACTTTCAGATATTTAAGTTAGAAAAATATTTATGATCATTAGAGAAAATATTTTCAGTATTTTTTGCAAGACAAACTGGATGAATGGGAAAACTGTTTTCTTTAAGTATACCTTTGTGTTTGTCAGTAAATTAATATACATGTGAAGTTTTATTACTGGAATATGTAGGTATTAGACACCTTCATTCACAAAGATTGCTTACAAAAATATATACACTGGAATTTCATTTGATATTTTTAAAGAATCAATATAAGGGAACATATGAGTAGAGTAGTATATGTGGCAGGGGAAAAACAGACAAAAGTATGCAACAGTCTCCTATAGTTACTAAAGCTGGGAGATAGCAAATACAAGTAACTAGCTTTTAGCTCTACATTTAGCCCTTCCTCATTAGAGATATCTTGTAAGTAGAAAAATATCCTATTCTTATATTGTAAGTGCATTTTCTCTATATTTTGACAATGAAATATATGGAATATTAGCTTCAATAAATTAAAATCCAGTGGAATAAACTTTAAAAGATAATCTATTCTGTGACATTAAATTTTTGGTGCATAGTGTGATTTTCTAATTATCGGCTGTTACACAAAGAATTCTGTTTTCAATGTGTGACATACAATTTATAGTTCAAAATTCTAGTGCTTTAATATTATAAAGTTTACAGGTGAGTAATAGGCTGTTTTATAACCTGCAGTACTCCTTTTTAATAGAAAGACCTGAGGGATAGAAAAAGTTGCGCACGCGCGTGCGCACACACACACACGTGTTTGTGTGTCTGGTTTGCTACTCTCTAAACTCCCACAAAATAATTAGTGCCCAAAATAATTATCAAAGTTGGTGAACAGCTGGAAAGACACTGCAGGTGAAGTTCTTTTAAGCAGCAAGAGAAAATCAATCATTACTTTGGCCTGATGCTATGTTGCGACTAATGAAGTTCTGCTGTTGATACTGACCTTTCTTTAAATGCAGGTGAAGATGCTTTTGATGCCCTCCCCCCATCCCTCCCACCTCCCCCACCTCCTGCAAGGCATAGTCTCATCGAACATTCAAAACCTCCTGGCTCAAGTAGCCGACCATCCTCAGGACAGGACCTTTTCCTTCTTCCTTCAGGTAGGAAAGAAAAGCCAAGGCAAACTTTTCACTTAAAGCAAAAACATTCCTAAGATCATACTGTCAAATATGTAATTCATTGGTTTCTAGTTCCCTAGCAGAAAAAAACTCTGAGTGAGGAAAGTAGCAGTTGGGTAGGTCTGTTTGTCAATTGGTTGGTTTAATTATAAAAGGATTACAGAAGTGGAGAAAGCAACAGGGAATGATAGAATTGAGAAATGGTGCTATGGAGCTCACCTGGTCCAAATAGACCCTTATGTTCCAAAGGCGTCCCTGCGAACCAGAAGGGCTCTGTGACCGGGCTATTAGCAATGGGGACAGAATTTAGACTCCGTCTCCAATTCTAAGTAATTTTTTTCTAGTAAGTTTTAAAAATTTTACTACATATATCACAGGAGCATAATTTTGTTCAACAACAATATTTTGGTAAATTATATTGTTATAACATTGATAGGTTTTTCTGAAATACCTTTATTGTTACTTTTTAATTTTTAATGTCTCAAGGTGTCCACTCAACTTATTGCCTTCAAGGAAAAGTTAATACATGCCTTTTTAAAAAAACTCAAGGACAGAGTAGAAATAAAATAAAGAGACTTGAACCATCTACTCCATGAGTCAGAATATCAGGAAAAAATATTTAGTTATGTATTAACTGTATGCAAGCTGTCCTGTTGGTGGTATTGTCATCTGTGCTCTGAAAGTCTGCCTCCTCGATTTGGACTGGTTAACAGTAGGATAAAAAATTTTTTTCTAAACAATTGCTGTGCATTTCTGTATGAGATAAACCATGAAAAAGCCTTAAAAGAGTGCAGTTTGCCCTTTGGCCTTCCATAAGACTTTGGAGTCTTAACCATTATCATTCACCTTTAGCCTTAATTTTTCTCAGATTTTTCCCCACTTGGTTTGATAATTCAGAAAGTTTGAGATTTGTGTACAAGACACAAATGAAAGACATGCACCGTGGAATATATAGCTTCAGTTTTTAAGAAATACTTTTAAGTTTAATTTTTCATCAGTAAAATGAATTGTCTTCTGTGTCACCTGAGTTTAATTTTTCGTCAGTAAAATGAATTGTTTTCTGCCCTCATGAAGTACAGGAATCCACTAGGTGCTTATCAGAGCGCCAGGGGAAGTATCCTTCTAACCTGAACAGAGAGCCATGGGTAGCTTAGGCTCTTAGGTTTTCATACAACTACATATAAACACTAAAATTTGCTTTTCACTTCTACTTTTTCTAATCTTTGTTTTATATGTAGACTTTAATTCATATTTTTTTAATGAATCACTCTAAATCTTAGGCTAAATTTCCCAACACTAAATTCTGGATAGTTTGTGGCCAGATCCCTACAATGTACCTATCTATCACCTTTTTTATATGTGATTAAGCCCCATTAAATGAATGTTCAGTGAAATACCTTCTTTTAAATTAAGTCGAGTTTTCCAGGAGCTAGACAAAAACATTTTACACAAATACACACTCTTCCCTATTTTTATCAATAGAATTGATTATAAAATGTTTATCACGATTTTATTGTTCATTGTTGTTCTGCATGTATAAATAGTCATAAAAACGCTCTCAAGATTACTAAAAAACAATGGTACTTCAAAATGAAGATACTCCCTTTTATTAAATAAAGCAGAGTTGTACAAATTATTTTGTAGTATTTAGTATATAGGTCTGATTGCTTTGATTTTGCGCGGCTGCAGGGAGCACAGCAGCAGTTGCCCTCAACTAGGGGAGGAAGCTGACGGGGGACCAGAGCAGTGTCATTTGCGCCTAGTCACTCTCTCTCGACCTCCTTTTATATACGGAAGTGTTCTAATTCCACTCACAACAGTGTTGACACTCCTTAATAATAAATACTTTTAGGGAAAAAAAAAGGCAGCATTTCTTTTCCTTTTCCAGTCTTGCATATCATTAACAAGACATTTCTAGTCTGTTGCCAGATCCCTTGAAACATTGAGAAGGCTGTTTTTATTCAATTTTAAACCATATACATTATCTGTCCCCCTTTTAAAAAGAAATATTTTAATTCTTCTTACCTAATACTGTCATAGAATATAAAGGTTTCTGTCAGCTCATAAATAAGCATTTGACTATCATTTTGCAAAGTATTTAATACATTATACTGTCTAAACTATAATTGAAGATTCACAACAGTGGTTCTTCACCCTGAGAATTGAATTTCATGCAAGAATGCTAAAGGAATGTTTAACTCAGTAGTTACAGAACCATACAAGATTTTTAAAAAATATATAGATGATAAATTTAAAGAGTCTGTACAAGCATTTTATAGCTGTTGTTTTTACTGTTGTTTAATGTGTAAAATTTTAGTCCAGTATAGTGATAAATCTTTTCTGGCCACTATTGGTAAGACTTGGTTGAGAAAATCATTATCCCTCATTAAAGACAAAGGTTGGATTTTCTCTTGATGTTGTATTAAATACCTAATCATGCCTGCCTCTCTTCATTACCGCACTCAGTGTCCTGCACATTTGGGTCATGTCCACCTTTCCAGCCCCATGGCCCAGTGACTGCTCGTAGGAATAATTTTCAAACTGCAGTCCTGTGTTTCTGCAAAGGAGCCTTAGGACCCCTGTAGAATCAAAGGGGAAGTGAAGCAGGGACACAGCTCTGTTGCTCCTTGTATCTATGTTCTATTTTAGCCCTTCCTGCAAGATTTCTTTTGGCAGGATAGTAATGCCCTGCTATACATGAGCCATCTACTAGAACAGGCCAGTCATATCCTAACAAAACCAGAAGAGTCCTCAAAAAAAGCTTTCCATTTCAAGTCTCCAAGCCCAGGGCTACAGCTAGCATGTATGTGCTTTTATCTGAATTACAAAAAGGCACTTCTTTTGTGCTGGTGCATTGAAATAGGCACCCCTCCCTCCGCTTTGTGCCAGGGCCAGTGCTCTGGGAACAAAACCAAGGCTGTATTTATGTCTGTGCGTTCCCGTACGGCATGTCTTTGTGCAGTGCGCAAAATGCAGTGTCTGTGGTGCTATTATTGAAGCTTTATTTCACTATTTTTCAAACCTGGAATCCCTTTTGAAGCCCATATCCAATCGTAAAGTCACAATTCAAATATAAAAGCTAGCAAAATTGACTTGATTAGAGGTAAATGAAAGATTTCCACTTGGATCCAGAAATGCAATTGCCTAAGTAAAATACAGAGAAAATTCCAATCATTTGTGAGAGTATGGAAAAATATTTATGGATACTTGTTGACTATGACCTTTATAAAGCACTGTCATGATGTGGCTACCAAGGGAGCTTATTCTGTGTGGCGGTTGCACTCACAGAGTTCAACTGAGAGGAGGACTGAGGTGAGGTCATTCCCCCTACGCCCCACCCCCACCGCCAGTGCCCAGAGGCATGGAGACCATTCTTCAGTTGTTGAAAGACAGATAGGAATTGTGGTCCTCAGACCGGTAACGTCAGCATTACCTGGGGATGTCTTTAAAATGCAAACTCAGTCCTGGCGGGATGGCTGGGTTGGTTGGAGTGCCTCCTGTACAGCAAGCAGTTGTGGGTTCCATCACGCCCCCTCTGTCCGGGCGCGCATGGTAGACAACTGATTGCTGTTTCTCTCTCACATTAATGTTTCTTCTCTCTCTACCCCTTATTCTCTCTCTAAAAAAATCAATAAACATATCCTCAGGTGAGGATTTAAAAAATAATAATAATTTAAGATGAAAATTCATAGGAGCTACCCAGGATTCACTAAATCAGGAACTCTAGGAGTAAGACCCAGTAATCTGTGTTTCCATAAGTCTTCCCAGTGATTCTGATGCATGCTCAGTTTTAAGAATCACTGGGTGGTATACCTAGAAGTGTGCAGCCTGCATAGTAAAGGGAACTCAAACCACAACGGATGCAGGTTAAAGGAACTGAGGGTGTTTTAACCAAGAAAAGAGACAACCTTGGATATTTATTAGAGCTCTCTTAAATTACAGTACTTGTGAAAGAATGATTAGGTTCTTTCCAGGTCTTCGGCCCGTTTGAGAGAGAGAAGATGGGGCGGGGGGGGGGGGGGAGAGAGAGAGAGAGAGAGAGAGAGAGAGAGAGAGAGAGAGAGTGTGTGTGTGTGTGTGTGTGTGTGTGTGTGTGTGTGTGAAGTTATGTAAGTCCCTTATATATTTTGGCTCTTAACCAAGGTATTGTTGGTGAGTTTGTATTGCCATTCGTTAAGTGGTCTTTTCATTTTGTTGATGGTTTCCTTTGCTGTGTAGAAACTTCTCACTTTGAAGTAGGCCTATTTTTTTTATTTTTTTGTTTCCCTTGCCTGAGGAGACATATCCAAAAAAAAAAAAAAAATTGCTAAGAGCGATGTCAGAGTTTATTGCTTATGTTCTAGGAATTTTATGCTTTTGGGTCTTACATTTAAGGCTTTTATTCATTTTGAGTTTATGCTTACATGCATATGGTGTAAGAAAGTTGTCTAGTTTCATTCGTTTACATGTGTGTCTGTCCAGTTTTTCCCAATACTATTTATTGAATAGACTGTCTTTACCCCATTGCATTCATTTGCCTCCTTTGGCATAAATTATTTGACTGTAAAGGCTTGGGTTTATTTCTGGGCTCTTTATTCTGGTTCATTAATCTATGACTGTTTTCATGACAGTACCATGCTGCTTTGACTATATAGTCTTGTGGTATGTCGATTGATACCATGTTGCATAATACGTTCAACTTAGTTCTCCTTCTCAGGGTTGTTTTGGCTATTCAGGATCTCGTAGTTCCTTATAAATTTTAGGATTATTTTTCAAGTTCTGTGAAAAATGCCCTTGGTATTTTCTTAGCTGTTCTATTGATTCTATAGATTGCTTTGGGTAGTGTGAACATTTGAATGATTATCAATGTTCCTATCCATGAGTACAGTATATGCTTCCATTTATATGTATTTTCTTGAACTTCATTCTTGAATGCCTTATACTTTTTTGAGAACAGGCCTTTTATCTCCTTAGCTAAATTTATTCTTAGGTAGTTCATTCATTTTGATGTAATTGTAAATAGGATTGTTTTCTTAATTTCTCTGATAGTTTGTTACTGGTATATGAAAATGCAAACAATTCCTGAATATTATTTTTGAATCCTAGTATTTTGCTCAATTTATTAGTTCTTAGAGTTTTTTGGTGGAATCTCTAGGGTTCTCTGTATAGAATATCATGTCATCTGCAAATAATGACAGTTTTACTTCTTTCCAAATCGCATGCCTAATATTTTCCCTTCCTTCCTTCCCTCCCTCCCTACCTCCCTCCCTTTCTTGTCTGATTGCTGTGGCTAGGACATCCAATAAGAGTGGGCATTCTTCTCATGTTACTGATCTTAGAAAGCTTTTAGATTTTCACCACTGAGTATAATGTTAGGTGTGTGCTAATCATATGTGGCCTTTATTACATGGAAGTATGTTCCCTTTATCCTCCCTTTGCTGAGAGTCCTTTGTCATGAAAGAATGCTGGATTTTCTCAAGTGCTTTTTCTCCATGTATCAATATGATCTTTTAAATTCTATCCTTCATTTTGTTTTTGTGGTATATCATATTAATTGACTTGTGGATATGAACAACCTTGAATCCCAGGAATAAACCCCACCTAATCACAATGTATAATTGACAGATTGCAGATTTTATCCTCTCCATCTGGTCTTGTTGTTGATTCCATCTGATATATATTTCATTTCAGTTATTGTATTCTTCAGTCCTGACTCATTCTTTTCTGTTTTCTATCCCATTTTTACCTTTCCTGCCTCATTGCTGAAGTTCTGTTTATCTTTCTCCTATGTTAATTGAGCATCCTTATAACCAGTGTTTTGAACTTTATATCTGGCATATTGCTTGTCTCCATTTCATTTAGTTATGTTCTATAGTTTTATCCTATTCTTTTATTTCAGACATGCTTTGTTCTGTCCTCATTTTAGCTGACTCCCTGTATTTGTTTCTGTATATAGGGAGATCTGCTTCATCTCTTGCTCTTTGCTTTGTGGCCCGTCAGACCCAGTGATGCAGTCTCCCTGGTCACTTGAGCTGGGGAGTGCTCCAGAGATGTCCCTTATGTGGGCTGTGTGTGCCTTCCTATTGTAGTTGAGCCTGGATTCCTGTGTTCATATCAGTGGGCCCGTTTGCCCCTCTGGCTGGGGGGTCTGCGGGCTGGCTGTGACTGTAGCGGATGAGCTGTTGTGCAGGGGCCAATCCCACAAGCAGGGATCACTTTGGTAGGGCTCCAGTGCCAGCCAAGTCCACTCTTCGGGTTTGTCACTTGTGAAGCAGATTAGGCGGGGCCCTGGTGTGCTTGACACTGGCCACCAGGTGTGTTCGTTCTGGAGCCTTTGAAATGGGACTGCGGTCAAAGAAGTCTTTCTCACTTCTTTTACAATTAGCAAACCTTTTCCTTCTAGTGTTTCCTTAGTTTTTTATAATCTTTCAAATAAGTATTAAAATTTAAATTTAGCATTGCCTGCTATAAATCACAGGCGGTAATACTTTGCTTTTTAGAATAAATTAGTCCCATGATGTTTATTCATTCATTTCTCAAACATTTATTACTGTATAATGGTACATTGGCTGTGCTGCTATTTTCAATTTGTATGTTCTAATCCTAAGTATGGATATAAAATTTTACTGTAATTAGTATTTGAAGAGTTATTTTTAACAACTTTATTTCTTTTCAATTTTTCCTTATCAGGAGACAGTTAATTATTATACTCTCTGTAGTCACTGTGCTGTATATCTTTTCCCATTGAAGCATGAATGCTTCCAGCTACACAGCTGGCTGCTGTAAAAGCCCAGTTTACCCAATACGTGCCAAGTAGCAAACTTAGCACGACCCAACATGGTAGTGATTCAGAACGGAACTATAAATATTTTTATAATTTATGGTAATATTTTTAGTGTATCTAGTGACTTTTTAAGTGAAGTAGTTTAATGGAACAATATCATACAACTGTATATTTTGTGTTTTATGTATGACTGCAGTGTATCTAAAATCTAATGTTTAGCCTTAAATAGATTATTAGAAATAACATAAGTATATCTGGCAAACCTATAAGTTACCCCTTAGGAAATTTTAAAAACATTTGTATTGTAAAAGATTATCTTTCCTCTAACCTGTTATATCAGTGATATTTTAGACTGCAGAAGAACTGAAAGTAAATTTTATTGAATAAATCTAAATCCTTAAGAAATTTCTAAATTTATACAGAAATTACCATATTTGGTTCCTTTGGTTACTCTTTCTAATCAAAGATTAACACTTGTTGCATGGAATTTTATTTATGTTCCTAAAATGTTTCAGCAAAATTAATGAGGCTGAATCACTGACTCTTTAAATATTGAAAGCTCAAAATTTAAGACTCATTTTAATCTTGAAATTAACGAAAGCAAGTTAAGTAGCCTTGCTTAGGCCAAAAAGTCTCCAGCAAATCTGGGAATAATTACTATACTCAAATAGGAGCAAAAATAATCCATGACTTCAGTTCTTGCCTTACATTATCTAGTGAAAAATGGGTATAAATCAGCATGTATTACCTTCTTACGTAATCAGACTCTTAACGTATTCTGAATGAAAAACTCAAATGGAAGTTAAAACAATGAAATATAATTAGGTCTTTAATATTTACAATTTTAGCCTTACGTTAGCAATCCAGATATCATGAATTTGTCAGTGAAATTCAAAGGTTTGATTTTGGATTTTTGAAAAATCAGTCTGTCAGCATTTACTTTTTGTTGTTAAAAGTAAATATTTATGAAATCCCGGCTATTTGCCAGGCAGTGTTCTTGATGCTATGCTTGTGTTAGAAGATTAAATTCAAACAGTATGAATAAGATGAGGTCCCTAACCTCAAAAGAAAAAAGAATTCACTGCACTTTTGGAGAGCCTGGCAGACAGAAAAGTGAGTAATATGAGAGAGGAAACCGGAGGAGCCTGAGATGGAGGTGGCGGCAAAAAGACTATCAGCGAACCATGTACTGCAGAGGCAGCGGTCCTCCACTCAGAGCCACCAGCTCTGTGGATTTCAACGCGTGCCTGGCTTAATTTTAAACCAGTTAAGCTTATGGTCCTAACAATTTGATATAGTAACACTGACAAAATCTCTTTTTCTGACTTTAGTTCCAATTAATAATTATCAGTAGAAATACTGAAATAAATTTTAATTTTTCTATAATTTATATTTTTCACTATTTCAGATGCTTCCACTCTCACTGCCAAGCTAGTGAAACCAATAAAAAACACACTTTGCTGTATGTTTAAACCTTACTAATAGAACAACCTTTAACAATCGATTCTACTGTTCAGTAAGCCAATCACAACAAACAGTTTTTCATGTAGGATACACAATCTAGTGTTACTTTAAAAAGCACCTTATAAAGCACCTTATATGTACAGAAGATTTCACATACATAAATTCATATATCCTCACAAATCACAAATGCAAAGTCCACTTTACAGACTGCCTGCTACTGCTTAGAGAGATTAACTGATTTCAAGTATTACATGCAAAATTCAGCCCCCCCGCTTTTTTTGACTTTTACAACAGTTTCTATTCATTGTATAGGAAATATTGGGACAGAAAATAAAAATTAGAAGCAGTTTTATCAACAATTTTTAATTGACTAAGATCTGAAAAATATAAAGTTGGTAGGAATATATTATCTAGGAATATTATCTTTATTATCTAGGAATAAATGGAAAGAGCATATTTGAGCAAGTGATGACAATATGCTGGCAGATTAAAAAGTTGTTAATATCAGTCATGAAATTACCTTTCTAAATTATTTTCTAAAACTAGGTTCTGTATAGAGAATGTCTAGAATTTTTTCTTCAGTCAACCAGCAAAGAAAGTTATTCTAATTTGCAAATTATCTTTATTTTTAAGATCCCTTTTTTGACCCATCAAGTGGCCAAGTTCCTTTGCCTCCTGCAAGGAGATTGCCAGGTGAAACTGCCAAGTCCAACAGAACGTCACAGGAGTATGACCAGCTTCCTTCATCTGCAGGTGAGTTGGCTGGTGGTAGTAATAATAATACCTTCCATTTATAAAGTCCATTTTTGGAGTACCTTTTTCATTATATAGTTTAATGAGCACTGCCAGCCCATGAAACAAAGGTGATTTTTATCACCTTTGCAACTTAAAAAATTTGTATCATAAGAGGAATGCCTATCAAATTACCTCATGGGAAAGAAAAAAATCAAGCCTTAATATTATCTTTGATCAGTCAGTAAATTATGTTCTCTAATGCAAAAACCTATTCCTTCTCTTTTATTTTGCGTTACCAGATACTAGAAAAGAGAGAAATCTGTATATACATTGTAATGCCACACTCTCTTATTTTTCCATTAAAAGAAGAAATCTCTTTAGAATTAATATTAGCACCAAATTATTAATTTTCAGAGTTTATTTAGGTCTACCATGCACTACTCCACCTCCAGCCATTAAGTAGAAGGATATACCATAAGTATATACCATTTTAGTAAATACGAGCCATACTTAAAACCCGTATTTTTGAGAAATATGAACAATATTTTTATCTCATAAACATCAGAAACTTTTCCTATTATATTTTTATCCTTTTTCAAGATTTTTGTTCTATAGCTCAAACATCAGTTCACAGAAAATTTGTTATTAGTGATAGCCATACATTTTCTAAGTTCTGAATCAAATTTAGTAATGACTGATTTGAGAATTATCAACACCGTTATTCTTATATACTTTATAACATGTATGGGAGATATTGAAATCCTTCTATAGTTTTGTAGGTTTTAACACTTGAATAAAACTCAGGAGAGCATAGAAAATTTTATTAGTCTTTTCAAACGTTGGTCAATGTTCTCTTACCAATTTACTTCTAATATTTCCAATATTTCAGATATATCCGTGGGTAACCATTGAAACACTGTAGTTTCAGTCAAAAGAGTCCATTTCCAGACTGATGAAAGAGGGGGAGACAGTATCTGACAGTCTCTGGGTAAAAGAAGGAAGCAAATTCCTCAAGAAAATAATGTTAACGTATAACTTAGAGGTTATATGTTACCATAGTACCATGACTGACTTAAAATAACATACTCAGTACCACCAACTCTGGATTAAAAGAAACATATACTCAAGTTATGGGAAGACTTGGGACCAAAATGCTCTATTTTCATCAAAAGCCTGTACACGGGGCAAACTTTCTCTTTTACGATTTCAACTGGTGGGAATTCTGATTAGCATTGCTGCAGAAATTTTAAGGATAAACCTTGAGTCACAACCCTTGTTGAAATATCCCCAAATAGGCACTTACCAGAAGAAGCCTGAACAAGCTTGTACCTGAATAATAAAAGAGTTTTCATTATTACTCCTAAGGGCTTCAGCTAGCTATAACATCGGATATTTCATCATACTCCCTCAAGTCTCTTTACAAACAAGGTCAAACCACAGAAAATAAGATACTTTTTCCAAGGAGGTATTTGCTCCCATGCAGCCCAGAGACCACCAAACTTTCCACTTGTTAATTTTACTCCAGTAGAGGGATTTGGTCTGCCTTCTGGATTAGGTGTCTCTGTCAAAAATTTGAGACTGGATGCTTTGTTCCTTTAGGGCTAATAGCACTTCTTTTTCAGTAATGTGTGTTTATTAAGGCTCTTCAGAATGACCATTGATTCTGGTACAATTGCTGCACCTTATAATTCAGTTTCTCTTTGTGGTGATCTAAATGACTGATAGTGATTTATTTATGTATAAGATTTCTAAGCAAAGACTGTTTCTAAGGAATTCTAAAATATAATTTTATTTAAAAATATTTCCTTATCCACTTATTTAAAAAATGTGTGCATGTATATGTATATCTGCATATACAAAGAACTTCCCAAATATTTAAGACAACTATAAAAATGTGGGGGAAGAGGATTAAAGTATTTCCTCTACATTTCCAGATGTAACAATTGATAGTTAATCAGAAATAAGTGGATTTGACCAGCCTCCACATGGGGCAGACTTTTTTTTTTTTGGCTTACAATCTGCTTATCTCTTCACATGGTTATATTACTCACATGGTGTTCATGCCTATTATTAGCTGTGTTTGAGTTTTTACACATTTTACAGTTTGCTTTTCTCATTCTAATTAGCTACAGTTTGAATACTATTCTTAAAAAACCCAGGGAATCCAACTTATAGAACAACAAAGTCATAATGATGATGTGCTTGTGCTGACAAAGTGCAGCATTAGCTCTTGAGATTTTTTATATTGTTAGTATTTAGAAGGCAGTTCAAGGCAACACTTGAAAATAATGCAGTAATTTCAGCATATTAACTATACAAAGAGTATTTGTAACTGCTAAAAGATCTTATTGCCAAATACACAGACAAAATTAAGGAGGTTTCATTATAAAAGCAATTAACTCCAACACTGCTTTTCCTTTACCAGCTTAAAGGAAAAGTAATGAGTATTGAATAAATTTTATATTAAGACCCAATATTCTATACTTATCTCCATTAAGATCTCATTTGGAAAGGTTGGAATTGTGTAGTGATGTCTTAAGACATAAATTATGTATTTAAGATTTTTGTGTGTTTCAACAAGAAAATTGCAATGTTACAGTTTACATGGTTGGACTACGTGATTTTTCTTTCTTATGACAGAACCTGAAATCTTTTTTTTCTTATAAATCTAATAATAATACTCTTTAATGACCATTAAAATATTGTTATGTTATAGCCATAACCTTAACTATCATAATTATCTACCACAGTATATGTGAAGATTTTTTATTAATTGTAATTTAGTGAAAACTGTGTATTAAAACGTCTCCATCTAAAATTAATGTATCTGTAGTGGCAGCAATTCAAGTTTATGGTGTAATTGAGTTCCGGATTAATTGATCCAACTTAGAATAACAGAGCCTAAATGATAATATATTGGGTTGGCGAAAAAGTTTGTTTAGATTTTTCCATATGATAGCTCTAATATTGCTTAATTGTCTTTAACTTCATTCAGAACCATGTTGTTAGACTGTATTCTGACAGCTGTCATATTAGCATGCACTTTTAAAAGTACTTAACCAAAATTGGTGAATTTTTGTGCAGCCATTTAGATATTGAAGACGGAAGAAAATATGCACATTTTGGCATATAATATTTCATTATTTCAAGAAAGGTAAAAACTAAAACACAAAAAAAGATTTGTACAGTGTATGGATAAGGTGCTATGACTGATCAAATGGGTCAAAAGTGGTTTACGAAGTTCCTTGGTACTGAGGACATTTTGGCCAAGTAACTCTTTGCTGTGGGGCTGTCTTACGCACTGGAAGATGTTTAGCAGCACCCCTGGCCTCTACCCACTAGAATCCAATAGTGGGAGACAGCCAACATGCTCAAAATATCCAAATCAATAAACTTATTGGTGAAAATGAAAAATATGTCTTTTATTTTCTGGACTTTTTGGCCAACCCAATATTTCAGATTTTTTTAATGTCTTAATAAGTTATATTTATATTATTTTTGTCATTTAATTCTCAGATATAGTTGAGAAAATCTTTAGTCTAAAAATCTTGATGTCTATCCCAAGTGTTGTCACGGAACTATTAAGTAAGTTTAGAGATTATGTCTCAGACTGTACAAAAGAATGATATATTTGTCGATCACATACTATGGGCCAAATGTTATGCTAAGTATTTTAAATATAAACATGTAGATTATATAGAGAGAGAGACAACATATAACATAATTTATGTAGCTATATATCATTTCATATCATATATTAATAGGTTAAGTAGTTTAAGACTATAATAATAAATATAAGTAAATATAAATTTACCATATAATATAGTTTAAGACATAATTTTATTCCTCTCAGCCAATCTGAAATAAATACTTTAATGGAAGAAAGTACAATACAACAAAGTTTAGTAATTTAACCAAGGTCTTCACAGCTAGTAAGTATTGGTGTGGTATGGTTTGAATCTGTTCTTTCATCAGTAACCTACGCACTCATTTATTTATGTTGGTTTTTTTTTTTAACAAAGTTAATGTAGTTCTTACACCAGTAGCTAAGCCAAAGTTAAGTTTAAAAAACTGCACATGCAGATAAACTTAGGGAGAACCTCAACAAGGTAATAGAAACAATAAAGAATAAAGAACCAGCCAGAATGAAGAACACAATAACTGAAATGAAGATCAGAGGAAGTAGAGGACAATATCAGCCACATATAAGACAAGTTAGTGAAAAACACAGAGTCAGAGCCACAAAAAATTTTAAAAAATCCCTGATTGGTGCGGCTCAGTTGGTTGGGTATTGTCTTGCACCAAAATCTCCACAGTTCAGTTGCCAGTCAGGACACATGCCTGGGTTGAGGACCAGGCCCCTGATGAAAGGAGTGCAATAGGCAACCAATCATGTCTCTTGCACATCATTCCTCTCCCTTTTTCCCTCCCTTCCCTCTCTCTAAAAATAAATAAAATCTTTTTTTAACATAATACTTTTATTTTTTAATTTATTTTTTCAAATACATCTGTCTCTGCCTACCCCCCACCACTTTCATAAGAATTTTAAAAAGTGAGCCACTTAAGGGATTTCTGGGACAAGCCAAGCATACCCACATTCATACCATAGGGGTGTCAGAAGGAGAAAGACAGAGAGCAAAGGATTGAAAATCTATTTGAAGACATAATAACGAAAAATTTCCCTAACCTAGTGAAGGAAATAGACATACAAATTCAAGAAGTGCTGAGAATCCCCACCCCCCCCCAGACGGGTCCACAAAAAGACACATCATGAATAAAATGCCAAAAATCAAAGACAAAGAATCCTTTTTCAGGTATCCAAATGCTTATGCTATTTATTCATTTATTTATTTTTAAGGACATTAGAATACAACCTTTATTTTTTAATTGTTGTTCAATGACAGTTGTCCCCCCATTACTCTCCCTACATACCACGCTGAACACGTCCAGTCTCGTCTGATCTCAGAAGCTAAGCAGGGTCAGGCCTGGTTAATACTGGGATGGAAGGCAAAGAATCT